TGTAACTTGTGCCAGGTAGATACTAGGCTTATACAAAAGAAAAATGTAACTTGTGCCAGGTAGATACTGGGCTTATACAAAAGAAAAATATAACTTGTGCCAGGTAAGTACTGGACTTATACAAAAGAAAAATGTAACTTGTGTCAGGTAGATACTGGTCTTATACAAAAGAAAAATGTAACTTGTGCCAGGTAGATACTGGACTTATACAAAAGAAAAATGTAACTTGTGCCAGGTAGATACTAGGCTTATACAAAAGAAAAATGTAACTTGTGCCAGGTAGATACTGGGCTTATACAAAAGAAAAATGCAACTTGTGCCAGGTAAGTACTGGACTTAAACAAAAGAAAAATGCAACTTGTGCTAGGTAAATACTGGACTTAAAAAGAAAGTCAAATGTGAAGTAAGTGCTTAGCCTAAAAACTCTACGTCATAAGTTCTAGGAAGCAAGAGATGCAAATGAAATGTGATGCAATGTCGATATGATGCAAAATGTTATGAGACACAACTTTCAAGACATAAAATTTTGTTTATTTCCCATTTTGTTTTTGCTTTTGCTTTATTTTTCAGAAATTCCTCATCGTGACACACAGCCAAGGATCATGGATGAGTGAGGCCTTTGGATACTTTTGTCTTGAATGATAGTTGGCTATTTCTTGTGGGTTACCCTTAAGCTGTTGTAAGCACTTATGAGTTGAAACAGCATTATCCTGTTGGTTGCGCTTTGTAACATTCATCAAGAAATTATCAAGCATACTGTGGCTTTTAAAACTCATAAAAATAATTTGTAATGCCTTGAATTTTCCCTTTTTAGATGTAACATGCATTTCCTTTCAGTATATTATCATAAAATGCAAAGAGAATTGACAACAAGGGAATAGGATAATCTTATTCAACAAAGAAAATGTGTTTACAAAGGAAGTCATTGTATGACAAGAATGACAAATATATACAACGGTAGCAATAGGAGGTATTTATCATGTGAGTGACACTTTCCAGATGAACAATGCTAGTACTGCACTTCAATAATCTTGATTGCTTGCCAATAAACTTGAGAGGATAATCCAATGTATTTTGCCCCAGTTTTTAGCTCTACCATGGCTTGCCCCAATTGATACCTCAAAAATTGGCATGATACTTATTTGCTAGATTGCTTTTTCGGGTTTTCAACCTAGCATGTCGCTCTGAATTTTCTTAGATTGCCTATTCAGGTTTTCAATCTAACCAGCTCTTTTTTTGTGTTTTTTTTTGGTACCCTAATTTTTTCCTAGATTTCTCTTTTGAGTTTTCAACCTAGCGGGCCGCTCTAACTTTTGCCTAGATCGCCCTTTCAAGTTTTCAATCTAGCGAGCGTTTTTATTTTTATTTTTATTTTTTATTTTCATATATATTTTTTTAGGCATAATATTTTTTTTACTGTATCAGAATTTACAAGATGTAGAGACCTTTACCATCCATATTTGTGAGGATCATAGCTCCCCTAGAGAAAACCTTTTTAACTACAAAAGGTCCTTCATAATTTGGTGCCCATTTACCAAGACAATCTTTCTAAACTTGTAGATTTTTTCCTCAATGAGATTTAATTGGTCTAAACGGGCTTGGACCCATTTCGTTTCTTCTAATTTAGCTTCCATTAATACTTGATGGAACTACTTGGAGAAGATTGATGTTTCTTCCAAGTTCTCCATGCAAGGACCGAAATGTTCTTGAGGTTAAACTCCTTGAGGTGACGGAATCACCTTGGAGGATTCTCCACTGGTGGAGAAGCAATAAACAAAAAAAATTCTCCACTAGATTGTCTCTTTTGATGCATGGACACAAAATGTTAATTATTGTGTCAAACTATCATGTAAAAAATTAAACTATCATTTATTTTTGTGGAAGTAAATATGCACAAAGTTTTGATGATGCCAAAGTATTGAGGTTAAACTCCTTGAGGTGACGGAATCACCTTGGAGGATTCTCCACTGGTGGAGAAGCAATGGAGTAGGTTCGGTTACTTCCTAGCTTGTGAAGGAAGCTTGAGGAACCAAGGCCAAAGGTTGAAAACCTTTGGTGAGAACCTTAGAGAGAAAATTCTCTTTGGTTTTAGGAGAGACTTTTGGGAGAGAAATCTGAAGTTTTATTTCTCAAATATTCAAAAGTGATTACAAGAGAAGGATTTACAAATTTATAGGGAAAGGTAGCTTCTAGGAGAAGCTAACCTTAACCATGGTTCACTAGGAACCATGGTAAGGTGTAGCTAACCATCCATGGTTTCTAAAACTTGTAGGAGAAGCTAACCTTGACCATGATTCACTTAAGAACCATGGTAAGGTCAGCCTAACCTACCAAGGTTTAGAAACTTGGA